TGCCTTGACTGCCTCCTGCAGCGTCATGTGCCACGCAAGAATCATGGATCCTGGGCACAGTCGCCCTCCATTCCATCCTCTTTCGCCGCCTTCCCCTTCGACCTCCTCCTCTTCGGCCTCGGCTCTGCGCGTGGCCAAGCGGGACGTGTTCGACCCCTCGTGCAAGGGCATCTACAACCGCGCCATCTGGGCCAAGCTCAACCGGGCGTGCGAGGACTGCCAGAACCTCTTCAGAGACGAAATGGGCATCTACGAATCGTGCAGGTATTGGGGGGGGGGGGGTCTCTTTATCCAGAGGAAAGTTGGATAAATTAGGAGGAAAGATGGGGTGACATAAGAACGGCAAATGAGTAGATAAGTAAATAGAATAAATAATAATATGAATAAAAGATGTGAAAGTACTAGAAGTGTATTTACAATATGACTGTAAGAAATTAAATTGAGGTTGGAAAACAAAAGTTCAATGTAACCGAATCTTAAAGTCTGTATATAATCATGTGAAATGTTAAAAGTATGAGATATAAACAAAATAAGAAAACAATAAACAATATTTTTTCTTGTTAACAGGGAAAAATGTTTCGACACAAAGATCTTCCCCGCGTGTGTGATCGAACTCTCCCTCAACCTGAATGAATACATGTTCGAAGCAGAGTTGATTCGCGAGCTTTGAACGGAAGGCGGTCGTGGCCTGCAGATTCCCTCGGGCGGATGGGGGGAATGGTGGAAAAGTGATTTATGAATATATATTCGTTGGCTATGGATTTGAATGTGTTGAGAGTAAATGTGATTGTAAGGTAGGCTGTTGAGAGGCCAAACTAAATGAAGGTTTGTGTGGATCTACTCTGATACATTTTCATTGCCAAAAAAGTTAAACTGTGTATGGCCAAATGATATTTCAAATAAAGTTACTGTACATTAAATACTATATTACCATTTATTTACCCAAACAAAGAAATATCTAAGAGCCCGGAGTCAAGGTGCACCATTTCTTACGGATTTCATGTCACCTTTTAAATTTTCTGGCTGGACCATATTGTATTTTCTAAAGTGAAATATTTTTTCCTGCTATGTATTCATCAATCGAAGCTTGTCTGCCAAAGATACAAAGAATCATCATCAAAATTTGAATATAAATATATCAGTAGCAAAAAAAGACAATTACAGAATTCGTTTACCACAAAGCGGTCATTTTCTTTAGTTTAAGCCGTAAATGATATCTTGAAATGTAATCTAAATGGCAACAGAAGTATATCCTCTAATAAATCAAATAAAAAAGTAACAGCATTGTATTTCTTTATCTCATGAAGCGGTCATAAGATGTCACGTTAAAATGCTGTAATTCACCGCTTTTATAATATGTACTTAGTAGTTGCGCCGTATGCAAACAGACACTGAATGCCCCTATTGTTCCAGCACTCTAGTATATGTATATTCGATGCTCTGGTCTTTTCAAACCCACGTATTCTCTGAAATATTCTGTATAAGCAGAAGATCAAGGAAATTGGTCGGATTTTGGTTCTGACAAAGGCATGTTTATGGCTATGTAAGTGAGAAGTGAATTTTTGGCTCTTGGGCAGGGAGTCAATGGTCAGTGATGGCATCCTTACATCTAGCCGTAGCTTTGTGTTTTCATTATCTTTCGCTCAGTTTAATATCGCTGGTGTCGGTATTTTGTTTCATTCTCATTTCTTTTCTTCTCCCTCAAATTCTCTTCTCTCTACTGGTATGTATTATTTATGTGATTAATTTTCACTACGCAAGCAAGTGCAAAATGTAAAAAAGCGGAACGAAGACATAAGAATCTTTAAATTGCTATCTGACAGCCTTCAGATTGCTTGTGATAACTGTGTTCGGTGCGTTTGCTAAAAATCACTGTTAACATACTTACGCTTCAGTCCCCATATAATGACAATTAAAACTACTACTATTTTCTAAACTTTAATTGAAGAATAATTCATACTAGTCATTTCGGCTTCACACCTAACATACTACAGGCACAATAGAGTAGATATCAAATCCACAATAAATACCAGTCATATCATCAAACTCTCGGGCTGGTAACGCGTAGGACCTTCCCACGGGGCGCTGCAAGACCCCGGTACCAATATCATACGTGTAGACAGTCTCGGCGAAAGCAATAGGTCTTGGCTTTGCTACACTTATACTCGGCTCCTGGAGACACAGAGTGAGGGGCGAAAGGGTAAGGGCAAGTGTAGACGAGGGATGAGGGGCGCGCCGGGAGAAGGATAGAGGATAGAGTTGCCTGGTGTAGGATAAGTCAAGAAAGAGGATTTATGGTGTGGATGAGGGAGGACGCACTGCGGGCTGAAGTATCGGAGGAAAATGTAGGTGGGATGAGATGGAAACCATGAAGAAAAAAAGGAAAAATAGGAGGAGGAGGTGGAGAATGTAGAAGAAGAGGAGAAGGAAGAAGCAAAAGAAGATGTGGAAAGGAAGAAGAGGAGGAGGAGGGTGTAGAAGAAAAAGAAAAGGAGGGGGA